CGGGAGGGGGGAAGTGTCCGACCTGCATTGCGATTCCGCAGTGAAAACATCGCATGTTGTTCTCACTCTTGTACACTTGAACTGCACATGCAAGGAAAAAAAAAAGGTGGAATGTCTAAACACCATAATCAGCTCAGGGTATTTGCCAATCTGAAATAAAGCGGGATGGGAAGCGTGTCCTTCAGAACAAGGGTACAAATGCCCCTTTGGCTGCAGCGTGCGTGTCTGTGTGGGTGCGTGAGTACGTGGGGCGGGAGGGCGGGAGGGCAGGGGCAGGGGTTGAGCGGCAACATCTTTTTTATTTATTCTTTCAGAATGTGACAATTTCATGAAACAGCCACACTGGGGAGGAAACTGTAACAAATTGCTACAGATGCCTTAAACTATGCACAAAGCTAAGTGACCAAATTTGTTTTTGATTTGAAGAAATAATAATAATAATAAATAAAAAAGTGCATTGTTTACTTATTCCTCCCTCTACTGAAACATTACCCATTAATGGGTTTTTGATGGGAAATGGAGAAACATTTTTTAGGACAAAATTAAAGGACTAATTTTAAACTTAAAACATTCCATTTTTGTAATTTCTTTTACGTTGTTTTAAGTACAGTAAGCACAACTGTAATCTAGTTTGAGAAACTGGTGCTTTCTTTTAGTTCATTTGTATTTCCCTGTTATTATTGTAAACGACTGTTTATTAATTCTGTTTACAGTTTGTTGCAACAGCCATTTTGGGAGAGAGCTTCAGTGTAAAGCCATTTGTCGAGGCTTTGCCATGTTCATTTTAATATGTGCCTGTTACTGTTAACTTTTAATTAATAAAAAACTCTTTTCACATTTTGCTCCTGTACATTTAAGTTAGTTACAATCAAGTCCAGCATTATGGAAAGGTAGTTAAGGCTGCACTCAGCTTCCACTGTAAAACTAAGCCCATTTTTGGATTTGAAAATACTAGTCCTCATATGCCAAAACTTATCACCTCTTCGAGCTTGGCCTTTTACTGTTTTAAAAACAAATTCTGACTTACCTGTTTGTCTGAAATTCTAAAATGGTTTATTCTTTCATGTTCCCTGAAGTGGCCATGTTTAAAGAAATAAATTTACAATTAAACCATTTATTAACCTTGTGTGATGTCCTTCCTTTGCTGTCAGGGCAAGTTTGTGCTGTCATCGTCCGACTTCAACAGAGAAGGCTCAGGTGTTTTATTGAGCCTGGGCTGCTGCTCCCAGTAGCAGAAAAGTTACTTCAGGTTTTAGCAGGGCTGCCTTCCCAAGGGGGCCTTCGCCCTTGTCCTGCAGAGCCTGCAGGCCATGGAGGTGACTGAGTAACTGCTGCGCTTCTGAGTGAGTCGCTGCCACTGCCTCTGCGCTAGCAGGGTTCAGTGCAGGGGGGTCGTGGTGTCTCTGGCACTTTTGAATAAAACAGGCACCAACACTGCAACCGTTTTTTAAAAGCAACTGTTAAAAATCAGTATCTGATGTTGTCTTTAACAATTCACGTTCTTTGAAATGTTACAACGGCATAAATATAAATTTTGCTATTAGCTCTAGGCCAATTGTAAACATATTTTAATGTAAAAATGTTTTACTTACTTATATATACACATGCTTGTATATATAATCTCAAACTTGCAGTGTGTCTATAAGCAACCTGTGATTCTCTAGTGTTATGTAACAGCCTCCTGGTTTGTATGAGGAACAGTGTAGCCAGCAGGTCCAGGGAAGTGATTGTCCCAATGTACTCGGTGCTGGTGAGGCTGCACCTCAACTACTGTGTTCAGTTTTGGGCCCCTTTGTTACAAGAAGGACACGGAGGTGCTGGAGTGTGCCCAAGTGAGGGCAACGAAGCTGGTGAAGGGGCTGGAGCACAGACCTTGTGAGGAGCAGCTGAAGGAGCTGAGGATATTTAGTCTGGAGAAGAGAAGGCTCAGAGGAGACCTTATCTCTCTCTACAACTACCTGCAAAGAGGTTGTAGTGAGGCAAGGGGGTCTATCTCATCTCCAGAATAACTACCAATAGCACAAGAGGAAATGGCCTCGAATTGCCCCAGGGGAGGTTCAGGTTAGATATTAGGAAGAATTTCTGCATGTGAAGAATAATGAAGCATTGGAACAGGCTGCCCAGGGAAGTGGTGGAGTCACCGTCCCTGGCAGTGTTCAAGAAACGTGTAGATGAGAGGCTTGCTTAGGGACATGGTTTAACAGGCAGGGCATTGAGGGGTTTGTGGTTGGACCTGATGATCTTTCTTGAAGGTCTTTTCCAACCATAATGATTCTGTGGGGTTGCTAACAGTTCCTAGACTGGCCTATTCTGACAGGAACCGGTAGCGCTTGCCAAGAGGCCGAAGGAAAACTTGGGATCATTTTTTTCTATGTCTGCTTTCCTAGGAAGGCGTTTCTGTCTGTCTTTCCTTGCAGCACTGCACCACCAGCTTGAGACCAGGTCTAGCTCCACTCATGGAGTATGTGGAAGGTTCTGACACCCAACTGGCTTTCCAGAAAGAAGGATTTTTCTTTTAAAGAGCTGTCTAGAAGTTCCCTTCAAAAAGTGACACTGAATTGAAGCTGCCATGGCTGCAGGATGCCGAGTTGGAGCAGGGCAGAGCCCGTGCGACGGCAGCGCGGCAGCCCCGGCGGCAGAGCTGCCGTT